TGTCATGCACAACTGAAACGTCGCGGGTGCATTACATAACCCAAATGACTTTCTTTTAAAAGCAAAAAATAACATACGAACTCATGAATGTAGTCATATCCTGATCCTCAGAAACAATATGAATTTTATGATACCTTGAATATCTGTCTGAAAAGTAGAAAAAAGGGTGGTCATCTATCTTCTCTAACATCTGATCTAAGAAGAGTAAAGGAAAATGATCCTTCCTGGTGACTGAATTTAATTTCCTGTAATCGATATATATTCTCTACTCAGTTACATGTTTAGTGGGGATTAGTTCATTTTGCTCGTTCACTAGCACAATAACTCCCATTTTCTTAGGAACACAATGGATAAGGTTAACACATGAATTATCTCAGATGGGATAGATAATATATGCATCAAGCCACTTCAAAATCTCCTACTTTACAACTTCTTTCATAATAGGGTTCAATTTCATTTGAGGATTTGCCTGGAATTTATGATTTTCCTCCATCATGATCCTATGCAAACATATCAAAAGACTAATCCCTTTATGTCTGTAAGGGTCTATCCAAAAGCTTTCTTAAAGCTTCTCGGAATGCTCATAAACTTTTTGTCTTGTGAGATACTCAATTCTAAGGATATAACTACAAGCAATGTAGATGACTTCCCTAAACAAACATTCTTCAAATATTTGGGAAGCACCTTCATCTCAAGTTTGGGGGGTTCCTCAATGGAAAGAGCAAGAGGCTTATAATTTTCAATAGTATCAAGTATCTCAAATCCCACCCTCACAATTCTTGAACTATCTTTAACCAATAGAACAAATTCATCTATATCATGTGTAGAATCATCCTCAATTAAATCTTACTCCACTGATTTAACATCACAACTCTTCCGAAAGTAACTAATACACAAATTATTAATAAACGGTATCATTTTATGACTAATACACAAATAATATAACACGCGTTATCTTTGTAATTACAATGAAGCTTCATAGATTTTAATATATTAAAAGTTACATTTTGATCATTTATTGTCATTGTCAGTTCTCCTTTGTGCATGTCAAACCTCACTCTCATTATGCCTTTTATGATGTTAAATCATGATTTGTCCATGAATCACACACTAAGAAATAAAGCATAAGAAAGGAGAGATAAAGAGGGAGAGGCGGAGAGAAAGAGAGGAGTGAACATCATTACATTTTATCTATCAAGTCTTATTCACAAAATGATCCCGTAATTTATAATGGATACTGTATAGTATAATGATATTATATTTTTGTCTCTATTTTAATTGGAGATGTACAGGACATACTAGGTTTTTACATACATGAGTCTATCGCTCGGTTGCTCTTTAGCTCAGCCGACTGAGCTAGTATGAATTTCACTCTATAAGGCCAATTCAGTCAGCTCGACAAAGCTAGTGTTGTTATTTGGCTAAGCGTGATTTTCTTCGGGTCAACAAGACTGATTCGGTCAGCTAGGTTTTGCCAATTGGTTGTTTTAATCTGGCTGCCATACCTTAATCCCAATCAAAGCTTGACTAGGTCATCGGGCAGAGGGTGAATCACTATAACTCGATAGATAACTCATTTCTCGATGAGAAAAACTAATAAGAAGAATATAATACTCTGTTGTATTGTCAATTCTCTGCCCCTAGATTCTTTCCTCGGGTTCGATCCCCTAGAAGTTAGGTTGAAGTCTTTGCTCGACTTTCTTCTGGTGGTTAGCTTGGATGCTTATCTGTCTTGTGTTAGTCTAATTGGTTTGGATTTGAATGAAATAAGTGGGCCTCCAGGCCTTCTCTTGGTGGGTCTTCCTGTGACTTCCTCTCTTCAAGACCGTTAGATCTCTTTGGGACCCACACTAGCACATTTTTTATGTACAATCCCACCCCGCTTTGGCACGAGAAAAGAAAGAATTCCTTGAAATCATTTTGAATCTTTTGATCCAATCCAACATATTGTAATGATGTCAATTTGATTCTTTGTGATGGCCAATCCAATTTGCAACTTTAAGGGTAAGAAAAATAAGATTAGAATTTGAAAAAAATGAAATATATGTCAAGGTTATCTTGATGCAAAAAGGATAGATGAAAAAGATGAAACTTTATTCTCTCGAACAAAATTATATATATATATATATATA